AGATCCTGGATTTGGGATGGGATCCCTGTCAGGAATATCTGTGATCCAGGAGAATTTTTGGGATGGTTCCATCCCAGAGATCCTGTGGAGCAGGATTGGGATGAGAACAGTCTCAGGAATATCAGTGATCCAGGAGAATTTTTGGGATGGTCCCATCCTGGAAATTGTGGGATCTGGGATGGGATCCCTGTCAGGAATGTCAGTGATCCAGGAGAATTTTTGGGATGGTTCCATCCTGGAGATTCTGGATCTGGGATTGGATCTTTGTCAGGAATATTCGTGATCCAGGAGAATTTTTGGGATGGTTCCATCCTGGAGATCCTGGGATCTGGGATGGGATCCCTGTCAGGAATATCCATGATCCCTAAGAATTTTTGGGATGGTTCCATCCTGGAGATCCTGGGATCTGGGATGGGATCCCTGTCAGGAATATCCGTGATCCAGGAGAATTTTTGGGATGGTTCCATCCTGGAGATCCTGGATTTGGGATGGGATCCCTGGCAGGAATATTCATGATCCAGGAGAATTTTTGGGATGGTTCCATCCTGGAGATCCTGGATCTGGGATGGGATCCCTGTCAGGAATATCAGTGATCCAGGAGAATTTTTGGGATGGTTCCATCCTGGAGATCCCATGGAGCAGGATTGGGATGAGAACAGTCTCAGGAATATGAGTGATCCAGGAGAATTTTTGGGATGGTTCCATCCTGGAGATCTTTTGGGATCTTTGGGATTCAAACCCCCCTGGAGATGGTGGTTCCTCCGGGATGGGTCGTTCCCATCCAGGGAATTTCCTCGGGAATGTGGGAATGGCTCTGCCACCCTCGGGTATCCCGAATTTTCCTTTTTCCCTGGATTTTCCCGGCAGCACCATCAGCGATATCTCCGTCCTGAATCTGAAGGTGGAGAAATGTTCCCGCCAGGATTCCGTCTTCATGAAGAAGGTAATTCCAGGATTTGGGAAAAGCTGGAGTGGGGTCACAGCATTCCCAGGCCTTGGAGCTCCGTGATGCCGCTAAAACCCGGGAATATCCCTGGAATTTCAATCCAGCAGGACAAGAGGGCTCGGCCTCCAGCTGGGCCAGAGGAGGGGGAGGTGGGATATTGGGAAGGATGGGAATTCCCACTCCTATCCCACATCCCAACTATTCCCCTTCCCAACCCACATCCCAGCTATTCCTCCTCCTCTCCACATCCCAACTATTCCTCCTCTTCTCCCACATCCCAATTTATTCCTCTTCCCAACCCACATCCCACTTATTCCTTCTTCTGTCCCACATTCCAATTATTCCCCTTCCTGTCCCTCATCCGAATTATTCCCCCTCCTCTCCCATATTCCAATTTATTGCTCCTCCTTTCCCACATTCCAACTATTCCCCCTTCCCAATCCACATCCCAATTATTCCCCCTCCTCTCCCACATCCCAAATTATTCCTCCTCCTATCCCACATCCCAACTATTCCCCCTCCTATCCCACATCCCAATTATTCCCCTTCCAAACCCACATTCCAGTTATTCCTCCTCCTATCCCACATCCCAACTATTCCCCGTTCCCAACCTACATCTGTTATTCCCCCTCCTCTCTCACATCCCAATTATTCCCCTTCCTATCCCATGTCCCAGATTATTCCCCTTCCCAACCCTGTTCCCTCTCCCAACCCACATCCCAACTATTCCCCTTCCTATCCCACATTGCAGTTATTCCCCCCTCCCATCCCACATCTCAACTATTCCTCCTCCTCTCCCACATCCCAATTTATTCCCCATCCCATCCCACATCCCAAATTATTCCCCCTCCTCTCCCACTTCCCAGTTTATTCCTCCCCCTCTCCCACATCCCAGTTATTCCCCCTCCTGACCCACATCCCAACTATTCCCTGTCC